AGAGAGAGAGAGAGAGAGAGAGAGAATGAATGAGAGAAGGGCGGGCGGGCTTTTATTTTTTTTTTTTTGCCCCCTTTCCGTCGTCTCTGCTGCCCTGTAAGCTTCTCTCTGGCTTAGATCGCAGCCCGCAGACCCCAAGTGGAGTCGGAGAAATTTGGCCCGGTTTTAGCAGGGTTGGGGAATGAGCTCCGGAGGTCAATAAAGCCCTCCCAAAATGATGAATGATTGAGCACCTGTGATGATGATAGTGATTACCAGAGCAATTAAACAGTGTGATTAAATGAGCCATCCTAACAATGCTGTCTGCGGGAAATCGGCCCGCACGCGTACAGATAGCGCGGAAGGCCTGGCGGGAGCGACGGCGGTGCAGCGCGGGGAGCGCGGCCCCGGACCGCGAGGTGTGTGCCAGGGTGGCCTTAAAAAAAAAAGCCGGAGCTGTGCGAAGGAGAAGGTAGCCCAGGTTTTCAGCCACCTTTCTGCCCGGCTTCAAGCCTGCCAGAGCCCACGGGTATGAAACCTGCAGGTTTGGGGGGTGGGTTCTTCCCCCTCCACCTCTTCTATTTTTTTTTTTTTTATTTCCTAGAAGAAACTCCAAGATTAAACGCATCCTTCTAATTTGTTGCTGAGTTGCTCGTCGACGTATAAGAAAAGGTGAGTAATAAAGAAAAGACGACGCAAAAGAAAAGAAAAAAAGTTGGCTTCCAGAATTTTATTTCAAGCGACAGTTAGGCGAATTCAGTGTAGCCGGGGCGGGAGAGGGTAGGAGCGGAAAAAACCGACCTGGGCTCGCTGCAGAGCCTTTTGCCTTTTGCTGAGGTCTGGATATTGGTGCATCCAAGTGTGCCGCGCAGCGCCGCTTTCTGAGAAGTTTATACTCCGTTTTTCAATTTTTACTCTTCTAATTGTTGGTTTTTTTTCTTTCAATCTTGCGTATTGTCGCCAATGGAATTATTGTTGTTTTAAACGTCTGTAGAGTAAGTGCCAATTACTTCTGTTTTTAAAAAGGAACCTCCATGTCCTTGATAAACTCTCTACTTTAAAGATCAACTTCGAACTGAACCTCTGCATCTCAGAATTTAAAGATTCAACGTTGCTACCTTCTACCGCT